AGTTTTCAATACTGTAATTTACTTTTGCATCAGTATGCTAATTTAAAAAATCCACGCGCGTAAAACTGAATATTTAATGAGACACGTGACATTTATTGTCCTATAAACCTCTTTTCACTTGGACAACGTTTTTGGGATCGACTGTATAACGCACTTAACGCACAGACTACGTACAAGTTCGTTGTTCGGATGGTGTTCGGCTGCAGTCGATAATAGATCGAATATTTCCAAAAGCGTCCCATTACGTCACTGTGTATGTAATGGCGGATGACCTGTTTCAGTAGCCATGGGTAAATTTAACTATGATTTTGTAGGATTTAAGTTTAGTATAGCTGAATCATTCACAGAGAACACGAGATTAACTTTTAAAAATGGTTCTTTCAGGGTTTAACAAGCAAAAACTGAAGACAAACCTAAAGCTGGCGATTAATCGCCTTAAGCTTTTGGAGAAGAAAAAGAGTGAGCTTACAACGTCGTTTTACTTGCTTTGAAAACTTTCTTTCTGTTTGTCACTAAAAATATTCATAGCTGCTTTCAATAAGAAAAATAGATAATCATTCCAATGCTTTGTATTTTCTGTCGGATATTCTAATTTTTTACTCCCGTGCAATTTTAAACATAAGCTCAACTCTATGGGTGACGTTTTCAAGCTTAGGAGTAGTACAGTTGTGCATATATATTCTGAATTTGTTTGATTTATTATCTTCTTCATTTTACACAGCCGAACTCGCTCAAAAAGCCAGAAAAGAAATAGCTGAATACATAGCAAACGGGAAAGAAGAGAGAGCGAGGATAAGAGTAAGTATGGGGTGAAACTTTTTGTTTTATTTTTTCGTTCATATTCAATTCCTGTTTTGTGGCATGGGACACATTGGGATAACTGTGGAAAAAATATGCTACAAATGTACCATATTTTCTCCCTGCAATATTCATTAATCATTAAATCAGCACTGGCTTTTTCACGGTATTGGCACTTAAAAACTGCCCTTTAATTTTTGCACAGTACATCATACCTAAAATAGCAGATGATGTCATGATGATGTTGATAATATTAGAGCATTGACATGTATTTTCATGCCCATTAGCATGAATTGAGATGACCAATTCAAATATCGATATCTGCACATTCAGCACTAATTCAAATTAACAATGATAGTAATTGTAATTTTTTAAGGTATATGTAAATTATATTGAAGCAAAACGTGTCACTTCATCGCTATCACTATGAAATGAATGTACTGTAGGAAAGTGATAGAAGAAAGGAATTGTACATGTGTCTAAGCTGTTGCTGCTAAGACTGCATCATTATTGATATCGATAGTTCGATACTATTTAAAACTAAGGGGATTTAAGTAGTAAGAAAACACTTTAGTTGCAAATATTGCATGGTTAGCCATGCAGCTTTTCTAAGCCTGATTCAAAACTGAACAACAGTGAGCATGCAGTAAATGAATTTATTTTCTTTGTGGTTGTGCTAAATTAAACAGGAAATTGTTGCAATGGAAAATGTGGCATTTTTAGTCAAAAAAAAGAAAAAAAAAAGTTTGCAATTGAATAAAATAAATGAATATAATATAATCAATTTATTTTTTATAGTGGATAAAGAGATTCAATCTGAATACTGGTTTCCAATTTAGCCGCACTTTTACTCACACACACTAACTTCAAATAGTCTCTGGGATGATCTAAGTCAGGGTACGGCTAACTCACAGATCAAACCCTGAAACAACCTCTGGACTGATATACGTCAGGGCACGGCTAACTCACAGATCAGATTGGTGTTTAGCTTATTAGGTTTTGTGAAAGGTGGAAAATGAGGACCCGACAAAATCATTGAATCAAGTAAGAGACCTAAAATATTCTACTCACATGTGATGACAAATGACAAGTTTGGGAATCAAACTCCATATATAGGTGAGAGGCGAGTGCACTAAAAGCTACACCCAACTAATACATTGAATATTCTGTGCTATTCTCAAGCTCTGTTTTGTTAATGACTCACTTCTCAAATACATTAATAATTCATAAGCACCACAGTACGTGAATCAAAACATTGTATTTGGTCAGGAAAGTCAGCATACCATCAGATCTTGTGAGCATTATTTGTTTGCTCTCTAAATTCTTCCATAAAAACTTATTTCTCAATATAAATTTTTAAGTGATTAAGGTAAAAGAAACTTCAAAGTGTTACTAAGTGTCAAGTGAAGACCATTGTGTAACTGTTTTCCATTCATAAGTGAAGTCTGACCGATGGTCACCAGACGAAACTAGTTACCAAAGGATACTATTTTTGTGCTTCAAATTAAAAAAAGTTTTAGAACCTCTAATATCATGAAACTTATGCAACAAATTTATTAGAGTGGTACAAAAAGCTGTAAATTTAGTCGCTCATTTCTTGTGCGAGGTCATACAGCGTCTGAAATTCACTGAGATGTAACGAAAAACACTGTACAAAACTTCTATTTGATTTGATTAAAAAGAAAAAACAGATTCAAGATACTTTAAAGTGTGATATTTAGTAAACTACACATTATGAGTTCACTTTATTTTGTAGTAAAACGTAATTTTATTCTAAGATAAAATTTGGGCAAAGATCAAGAGGATGAAACCTAAATGACTTTTATGCCTGCCTGACCTGGGAGGCTGTGATGATTTTAGCCTTTTTTGGAGCCTTCTTGCCAAGTTTGAGATTGTAAAGATAGCTATGAAAACTAAAGTTCCAGGAATTTTCCAGCAATTATGGGAAATTCATCTATGGATGGTTTTAATGTAGGTGATTTTGGGACTGGCTAGTCAGTCCATAGGCAAATTCACTGTATACCAGAAAAGGAAGCTTATCTTAAATGTTGGTCAAATGCCCAGATGTTTTTGGCTTTAAAGTTTTCCCATTTCATACTGCATATCATTCTCTTGAGCATAAGATTCTTTGCTTGAGATTTATCCATATTCATGTGTATTCTCATGAAATGTTACTAAATGCATAAGAAAATGAAATGATACTACTGGAAATGACACATGATTTGGGAAGCTAAAAATAACTATTAGAACTTGTATTTTAAACCAAGTGAACACAGGGTTGATGTGTTTGTATGTTGTTTTTATGTGTTACAGGTAGAACACATCATAAGAGAAGATTACTTGGTTGAAGCTCTAGAAGTATTAGAACTGTACTGTGATCTTCTTCTGGCCAGATTTGGTTTGATAGAGACAATGTCGTAAGCAAAAACCTTTTTTACTCCTTAAGAGTACTTAATTTTATGATATTTGCATGCATCCTGAAACATTTAACACTTAATGACTCGTCCCGAGGGAAACAGTTAGTTTTGTTTTCCAAGAATCCCGACGTTGAGACATTGAGATTCAAGGGAAACAAAACTAACTGGTTTTCCAAGGGATCAGTCATGAAGTGATTTGTTATAATATAGCACAAGCTTTACTTGTTAAGGCTGACGTCCTGTACAGAACACTGGCTTTTTATTCTTGCAAAAATATCCTGATATAAGATACACTCAAGCAGTTCGTTTCAGTTTTCTTTTGAAATTTCAACAAACACTTGTTTTCTTATCAGGATATTTTTCTTCGCAGAAGGCTTTGAATGTAGTCAAGTTTGTGTCTCCAATTTTGTGTCTTTTGAATCTTTTCTTTCAATGTGCCAGCAATTTATTTTCAGACCCTGCCATTTTTTACTAGTCAGATAGCGAAGCTTTCAACAATCATACGTTCATGCATATCGTCACGCCGCCCTCTATCACATGCTGTTCACATGAAACTAAGGTCGTCAGTAAACAATGGCGTGTAACAGTGAACTGTTACCCTCTGACGTCATAGATTTTGCAATGTTGTCTGCCAAGAAACGTTTGGCAGGAAACAGTTTTATTGCTAGATGTCATGTGACCACGAATCAACCAATGAGAGTGCGAGCATTAGAGGAAAACATTCCGGCTATATACATGTAACAAAACCGTTTAAGTAATGGAAAACCCCAGTCACATAAAATTAGTTAAAAATAAAATTAGCCATGCCCAGACTTCATTCATCCAGGAAGATGTTTTAGAGCTGGATAAAATGAGTTTTTTGGTTGCAGACCTTCTAGCATTTCTAAATCCCTAATTTAGTTTTGTTTCCTTTATCCAGACTGTCAGTAGTTTGATTACTTGACTGTGTGTATCTTAAACAGGTATTGCGATGAAGGGATGATTGAAGCTGTTACAAGCTTGATATGGGTAGCACCAAGACTACAAACTGATGTCCAAGAATTCAGAACTGTAAGTTATTAAAAGCTCAATTACTAAAGTATTGTTATAGAGTCAAAAGTACCTACTGTACAAGAATCATATGAAAGTCAGGATGATATAGCTGAGCTACATTTTTTAAAGTCACTAATTTTGGATTTTATAGAACTTATATGTGCAAAATTTCAGTCCCAATAGAAGAGTGACTAGTCCTTTTAGCATAGACCTAGCCATAGACCTAGCTTACAATTCTTGCCAATCATCACAGATATTACTATTTTTCAATCAGGTGATAAAAATTTTTGAATGTCATTATCTGCTGCCAAATGATTGTCAAACACTGACCACAATGTGCTGTTAGCCAGAAAGAATTATATTAAAAACTTGTAGTTCAGTGGATGAGTAATTGTGCATGAGACATGGAATGGCATTAAATAAATAAAGGGAATTTAAAATTTGTTTTTTACAACATCTAGGTAGCTGAGCAGCTTGGCTACAAATATGGTAAAAAATTTGCTCATGAAGCTAGTACCAATTGTAATGCCACAGTCAATGAGCGTGTAAGTAAAACACAGTATATTTTAAGATGAGAGTATGTGGACCGCGTGGCACTAATGAAATAGTAGAAGATAATATAGGTAAGTTGTAGTGCTTGGGAACGAGGTTATTCCGGGCGAAAGCCCTTGGAATTAAATTCGGAAAAATTAATTTCCGACCTCGCTGGGATTCGAACCCACGACCTTCGGAATTGTACTACCGATGCTCTACCAGCTGAGCTAGAGGTCAGACTGAGAGCAGGCCGGGGTGAAATAGATGTTAGGTCGTGGTCCACATACTCTCATCTTTGCATCATAATTACCGCGACCTAACATCTATTTCACCCCGGCCTGCTCTCAGTCTGACCTCTAGCTCAGCTGGTAGAGCATYGGTAGTACAATTCCGAAGGTCATGGGTTCGAATCCCAGCGAGGTCGGAAATTAATTTTTCCGAATTTAATTCCAAGGGCTTTCGCCCGGAATAACCTCGTTCCCAAGCACTACAACTTACCTATATTATCTTCTACAGTATATTTTAGATTAATTTTGAAGATTACTTTTTTTATTTAAAAAATAAGAATGCTGTTGGTAAAGACATAACATTATAAATATAAACAATATTGTACCCCTTAATCTTACAACTATATTTAGGGACTTTTTGTTTATTATGTTGCAGAGGGGGCTGGTGGTTTTCATTGCAGGAATATTTTTGTAAAACAAACCCCCCCTCTATCCCAATAGATTGTGTAAATTTTAACCCTCCCCCCCCCCCCCCAACCCTCACTATTTTTCTTATAAAGTTTACCCACTTTTTTACTGATTCCATGAAAACAAAGCTTAACCACCTCAGATTACGTTTTTTCAAAAATATACCACCCCCATTTAAAAAAACCCTCCATGGCGTAATAAATGAACAGTCCCTTTTACAATTATTTTTTTTATTTTGTAGCTGATACAAAAGTTAAGCCCAAAGCCCCCACCAAAGATTCTAGTGGAGAGGTACTTGATAGAGATAGCAAGGAGTCATTCAGTTCCCTTTGAACCAGATCTTTCTGTTATGGCCGTAAGTAGTGCCTTATTAATTCTTTTTTATGGCTACTGGCTTGTAGAGGAGAAGCCACTATGTTATCGAGTATTGTATGTAAGTCTGCCCATAATACCACTGGAAGCCCAATAGTGCTCAATCCATAATTTCGAACCAATTTTGCATTTTGGACCAAAAGAAATTTTTTTATTATCTAACCCAACATGCTTGGTCATCTTCCACTTTATTCTCTTCTCGACATTGAAGTTAAATGCCTTTGCAATTGCAAAAACCAGCACAAAATGCCATATGTGACTAATCTCAATATAAATGTTCGATCTCATAAACATTTGACTTTCAAGACACTGCACTATATAGCCACATGTAATCGTTGAGTGCCTATATTTTTAGAGATTATTGTTCATTAAGTAGCTGTCACTAACAGTAGCTGATTAGGCGATGATGGGAGCTCAGGGTGAGAAAGTGTGCTTTAGTAGCAAGCATTCAAATTATTACCATTCGACTCAAAAATTCTGAAATTCTGATTGGCTGCACCAACTGGCTATAACTGTTTACAAATAAAATGTAGTTTGAGCATGAGCCGTGAATAAAACTCTTGATTACTTGCAAATAATGACATGAGCAAATTATGACAAAGCACAAATTTTATGGAAGAAGAAATAGAGAGAAATGTTTGAAGAAAACACTAAAATAAACTAGACCGAGATAAATCTATCAAATGAAAAGTCATTGGCATTGTTTCAAACTTGTATGCAAGTCATAAGACATCACAACTGAAACATTATGTCTTCACCACATGAACCTCTAGCACTGCTTTAATTTCAGAGTGAAGAAATGCTGGATTTAGATGATCTAAAAGGAGGAAGGCCAGGAGGAAACAGTGGAGGAGGTGGAGATGGTGGCCATGGTATTGGGTTTGAAAATTTTAATCCAGGCCCTCCTCCTGGGAATCCTTTAGATAATCTACCAAATATCCCAGCTATGGCTGGTGGGAATCCTGGTTATGCTTATCCACCACCACAATCTGTAAGTATTGTTACTATAACTAGTATGATAATATGGAAAAAATAGAAAACACATGTGCTTTTATGCTATTATTAAGTATGCAGAGATTGGGAAAACACGTAAAAAGTGGTGGTTAACTCAAAAGTTTATACTACTATTAACCAATTAATAGACCGTTTTCTCAAGACTGCGTGTGCATCCAACTTGACGGGCCACAAAATAAAAAAAAAGAAAATTTAGTAAAATTAAGAAGTCAGTTTTACACTTAAAGAGGAAAATAATCAATTTTATGAATTCTTGTCGAAAKATCTCATAGAAATTTATGATAATTCTCATTATAAAGCTCCTGTTCTGGTATCGTGGTCCATCAAGTTCCTTAAATTTGGATGCGCATACTACCTTGAAAAAACGTTCTATTCACAATTGTAATCTTTATCTGTCTTTTCCTTTCTCTTGCAATCTTAAGAAGGATTTTCTATAAAAATGATTTTGTATAATTGTTAATTTGTGTGCAATTAAAGTAGCGTAAAAGTCTAAGTTTGAAGTGTTAGGAGAAGCATGATGAGAGGCTAATAAGTGCTTCTTAACACTTCTTGAGTGTTCTGCCAATCCCCTTATAACTGAACCCCTGTCTTGGAAAATAGTTGTTTCATTATGCATCATTGTTTGACTGCAGGGTACTGGTATTACTCCATATCCTCCACCAGATAAAGGACCATCACCAGGCGGCAATTACCCAATGGACAAAAAGGTAAATATTATTGATTATTAGAAATATCCATGAAATATAAAATACAGGCTAGTAGCAAGGACAGAAGCAAGGTCTGGATATCTGGGTGCCAAATGTCGCATAAGGCTAAACAAAAAATAAGTGTTTTTTCTGTTGTGCAACCGACCCTAATTTTCTTGCCGATTTTTGCCGACCCTATAAATGTTTTTTCATTCCTAAATGCACCACAGGGTTCCCAGTAAGCTAATTTCCACTGTCATATCAGTTAAAAAAATAAAAAAAAGGAAAATCCGACCTACCGACCCAAATTATTTTTTTCATTCAACAGGAAACACACTTATTTTTTTGTTTGGCCCAATGTCATTTTGTGTTTGTGACTATGTTAATTTTTTTATTGACTTCATAAAAAAGTAAGGGAGGACTGGACCCCACTCCTTGTTCCAGGCCTCGAAACATTCTGGGTGCAAGGATTCCCATAGCTATTGTGTTGACCCAACAACAAATCCCATGACTTAGGGTCAGGCTAAACAACGAACTTCACATAAGCCAAGCTTAATTGCCCTATTTCATTATGACGTCACTGCTCGTTTATGTCGGGGATAGAATCGCCAAATCCAATAGGAAATTCAACAAAATTTGCTCCTAGCAAAACATTTTAATCTAAAATGGCCTGGTTTTCAGATATAATATGTGTTAATATGTAATAAAAAATATTCTGAGCGTTTGCTGGCTCTTCTACTTCTCTTCGTGGATTGATACACGTTTTAGAACAATTTTCGGTGAATTTGCGTTGATTTGACCCCCTCCGACGACCATGATCCTTTGCGTTTAAACAATAGATTGTTTTGATGTGACGTCATAGTGAAATAGGGCGATTGAAACAATTCTTTGAGGTCATTAGGTTTGGCTCATGTGAAGTTTGACGTTTGACCTTAGTCTCAGATACTTATCTGATGTTTGCTCGTTGTTTCACAGTTTTCTCCTTATCCACCGGATCCAGGATTCCCCAGCGACCCAAGAAGTAAGTTGTTTATTTACCTTATTGTACAATAACTTTGTCTTGTGAAGTGTGGGATGTAGGATTTTGAAAGGGGGGATATCATTGGTCACTAAGGATGAAAGACATTTTCCGCCAATTAAATCCGCCAATTAGATCCGCCAACGTTGTGGTCCATCCCTTACTAGGGACCTTAAGCTGCAGGACGGCAACGTCGGCAAAACTGAGGCGCTTCAACCTTCTATTGTATTATTATTTCGTGTTTACCTAGTATTTTACTCAATAAGCAACCCCGTTTTAGAGTGAAATGACGTCTTTTGGGAGCGCTTTACTTATAACGAAAATTAGCAAAGATAAGCTTTTGGCGTAGCCGTTCTCTTTAGTACGTAAAAATAGGACATTTCATTTCTTACTTTCAACATAAGACGGCAATGATGCATGGTATTTCGTACATTCCAGAGTATCTATTGAATAGCGCAATTAGTGCTATTGTATGCTTGCTGTCGTCGTCGTCGTTGCCGTCCTGCAGCTTAAGGTCCCTACTATTTCAAACACAACCTTTTGAATCAAACTGCTGATGGCAAACTCGTCGATACCCTCTGAATCCTACTTGCACTCTTGAGATATTGGGATCCCTGCGCTCCTCTACGTCCCGCTGACAAGAGCGTTGCGTTATGTGTGTTTTAAAATTACTCCTTATATCTTGACCTTCTCATCATGTCTCATCCGACTTTTTTTTAAATTTTTTATTTCATTTTCTCTTACGATGTTTTTACTAGGTCAATGTTCACCTGACTTTTTAACATGCATATATTCACTCAAAATCTATTACACACTCTGTGAAAAAAGTGGATATTCTATAAACATTCGTTCACGTATCCACGAGTCAAAAAGGAGTACTTAGAAACAAKAACTTTTCCTTCATTTTCAGAATCAATTGGTCCTTCCAACCCAGCCCCATCTGCGCCCCCTGCAGCTCCATCGTTCCCTGACCTACCTTCAGTACCCACCAACAGCCTGCCAACCAACAGCGTACCTGGTGAAAACAGTGCTGGTGGAGAAGACGTTGACTTTGATGACCTCAACCGTCGATTTGAAGAGCTAAAAAAGAGAAAATAATTTTGTGCTTTTGAATATTATTGTCTTCGATGAAGAAATTTCTGAAACGTAAACCGCTGTAATTAGTCGACACCCGAATGAATCGACAATAATCGTATGTCAGTTGTATAAACAACTTTGTTCATCCAATCACGAGTAGAATGTCGGCTTTTTTTCTATCGCTAGGAACAACGACATATTTTACAACTTATTGGAAAGTCCGTACTGATAGAGAATTAGCGATCTTAAAGTATGACGACGGAACAATCTAGGACGCCTTTTTTATAATCAGCTCGCACAGGTACTGGAGTTTTGCAACCCACTCCCCTGGTGAAAACGGGGGTCTCTACCCGGTCTTCTTGCCCTGATGCTGTAGTCGTACCGGACCCCCGTCGTTGTACCTTAAGATCGCTATTTATCCCCGGCTGAACCTGTAGCAGGGTAGGATGTCTACGGTACCTTGCAATAGTCTATTGAGCTTCGTGGCCACATGGCGTGTGACCAAGCCATATAGCACCGCACGGTTCAATTACCACCCTGTTTACGCGATGAAAAGGTGACCCTATTAATAGGATTCGAAATAAACTCTTTCAGTCTCTTTTGAATTTTATCGACACCCTGAAACAACCTCTGGGCTGATCAAAGTAAGGACACCCTACCTTCATTTATTAACGGCCGCTACGACAACAATAATAATCTAATGTAACCACATTAATTTTTAAGGCTATTGATGGTTTTCACGGTGGCCATGTTGGAGGAACTTAACAAAAGAATTGTCAATGAATTCTTTTGTTATATCCTCCAACATGGCCGCCGTGTCTTTTGTTATTTTAATTCTCTTGGGAATGGTTGAAAACCATCAATTGAACTGTTTAACACTTGGCCCTGTGACTCTAACATCTACTGATTAGAACTTTAAGTGCCAATATATATTCGCAGGACTAGAGCCAGGAGAATTAGGTAAAAACAATACAACAAGATCCTTTTGACGGAGAAGGGAGAGAAAGTACCCAAAGAAGCAAACATGCACTGGTTTTCAGCCTGCATATACCTAGATGGTGCAACAGTCCAGTGGGCATGTATTTTAGCTTTGCATTTTGATATTTTATTTGTAGATTCGCTTAATCTATTTTTTATTAAAGGTGAACTAAGACAATGTCTGCCTGTATGTGGTCACGTGTAGTATGTGCTTTGGGCTACTAAGAGTGAAAAAGTGAAGGGATTACCACGGTATTATACGCGGTGGCTGTGTTATAGAAGTTTAAAAACGATGAGTGAAGGGAARGTAAATAGAAACTGAGCCAGTCGGTATGAAATGAAGAAAATCAGGATTAATTCCTGGAAAACTTGCGATTCCTGGAATAATGAAAGATTTCAAAAACTGTATGAAGAAAATCAGGATCAGTAAAACTTGCGATTCCTGGAATAATGAAAGATTTCAAAAAAACTATGAAGAAAATCAGAATTAATTCCTGGATAACTTGTGATACCGGAATAATATGACAAACTTGTTCAGTTCTAGTCCTGGAAAAGATGTATAATTCTTTGGAGAGAATCCTTATTTCTGTAATATTGGATTTACAACGAAACCTTGTAACTGAATTGTTTAAAAAAAATCTCCAAACGTCGATCCTACCTTACAACTACAAGCCTCGCATTAATTGTGAAGGTGTTAAGTCAAATACGGCTACGTTGAGGATATTTTAAAGAACCAAGTCGACCCACTTTCAAGAACAGTATCATGTCACGCTATGGTCATAAAAGTTATAGTCAACAAATACTGAACCCTTTGACAAAAATTCTACGCTGTCAGTAGTTAGTGTAGCAAGAAGTTATGAGTTTTGGCGCCAAAAAAGTCATGGACGTCTTGCTTGACGTCTTCTGGGTGGGTTTTAATTCTTTTCAAATGTTTTTAGCAGGTGTCGTTTTGACATTTAACTCGCACCGTTCGATTGCATTATTTTTCAATTATCTTCCTTACACATATTTCATTAACAAAATCAAGTTCATTAACTTAGAGATGGAAGGACGATGTTATAAGTCCATTTTTACGTAAATTTAAGTCAAAAATTTTCCAATTCGGGTTATAATACTTGGAACATTTTTGGAGTGGAAGATTGATCAGTCGTGATATTTGGTTCATGACATCATTCTCGTTTTCCTTCAATGAGCACATGAATCTTTCAGAGTCCAAACACCTTTCGTTCCGCAACGCTGGAGATCCGCCGAACTTAAGATGATGATTATTGGTGCCACACAAAATCCCAGCCTGTCAAGTCGGCTTTTTTCAGGATTATTTAAGTGTTGTGAGCAAAAGATTTTAAACCTTTTGAGTTCATTTGGAAGGACCGTTTTCTTGGAAAATGGTATCCATTGAGTCTACCATATCTGTCATTCACTTATCGAGGATTTGAAAAGTTTTCATGTTGAAGTCAAACAATTTCGCTCTATGCTTAGACTGTGGGACGTAGATTGGCAGGCAATTTGCAGTTATCATCAGAAGACCCATTTCTTTCGCTTGCTGCTCGTTTTGGCCGTTTTCCTAGGTGAGTTACGTATTTAAACCAAGGTTAATCCTATGGAGTTTTGGGTGACTATACGAGGCAATACTGTTTATTCATACGAGGAAAAGATACCTGTAGGTTCAATTGTCTTAGAAGCACTTGACGTGAAAAGATCATGAACTTTTGGAATGGAATCGGACTTTAGTTTGTTTTGTTCACTAATGATTCTAATATTTTATCTTATCGCTATAACCACGTTTGTCGTGCTGACATTGCTACGTGCAAACCTTACACTGTACTTAGTCTTCCTGGGACAATTTAAGGCGTTGTCAACATTGACCTTAAATCGAACTATTGATTGTCAATACCTTCGTGTTTGACACTAAATATGAATAGATTCCACGTTCAACTATGGTTTTCTTGTAAAACAAAGATTCTTAGCTTGATATTAATGATTCTTGGGTGTCTTTTTCTAGTTTGTTGATATTTTGAAATAGCGTCAAACAAAGGTGATACATTCATCTTTGATGGCACGATGTTGGCTTTCCTCAATGAAAAAAATGAGACAGCGATTCAACAAGTGTTGTTTTTTTAACTACTTTCTGTGATAAAATAATAAGATGGAAAAACACTACTTAACTTCATATTCTGAAAATCTTTTCGATGCTATCGATGATCAGAGCTGTTTCGATCAATGAGGAAGAAAAATACTGATTTACCAGCTAGCACAAAATGGCCCCATGCATTCAAGTTATTGGTAACTTAAATCATATGCCTTTTTTGTTTCTGAGTTTTCATTTTTTCAAATCTTTTTATTCAGTTGTTCATCACTGTAACATTCTACTTGCATTTCTTGGACATACATCCTATATTACTGCATATCATGTATACTGATATTTTCGTCCCAATAAGCTTTTACGATGTGACAAAGAATTCACACGAAGGTGATATATGATGGTGATGAATCTTATCTTAAAAAGAATTTGAGAATTATCTCTGTACTGGAGATCGACTACAATCAAAATCTTGTCGATTATGTATATATATATAAAGAGTTTAATTGAAATTAATTACAGTCTACCTTCAAATAATTGGGTTAAATGACCTGTCAAAAAGACCTGCCCGATTATAAAAACATTTCGAGAGACTATAAACTTTCTTTAGTACAACAACCTGTCAACTTCCGACTTGGCTCATGCATTTACTAGGGGATCTGAACTGGGACTCATTGCGCAAAAATTGGACAATGAAAATATTCAAAATCTATCGACGATCCAGATTTCGAAGTCTTGCATGAAAACAGGACAAGAATATGAAAGGAAAAAGAAAGAAAAGAAAAGCAATAAACAAAAAATCCACCAACTAAGTCTATCGATCTTCCATTTTATAACTCAAGGCTCACGATTTTTATTCCTAGACATTTTCCAATCTGATTCAGGTCCATTTTCTTGTTTTCTCATGATACCATTTGTCAGTTCCAGTTGGATCGCGATTGAGGTCAATGATCGTCATTCCTAGTATATAGTTTTCCAATCTAATTCAGTTGACGGAATACATTTGCCGGTTATCTAGCTAAGCAATTACTGATGATATTTAATTCCATTGTCTTATAGCTTGTGTCACGTGGTTAGAGGGAGGGTCGCCCCAATGCGTCCCAAGCAAGCCCCTCCATCACGTGACCCTTCAAGGAGGCATTGCCGCTGGAGACTACGTGAAGATTGGTCCAGTCGTCAGTCCTACTGCATGTGCAAACATCTGCTGCAAGGATACAAAATGTGACGTGGCCTTCATGGCAAACAATATGTGCTACAATCTGCATTGCTATAGTGCTAAGTTGTGCCAAGCTCGTCCAGCAAAGGAATCCCGTTTCGTCGTGTCAGTGACGTATATAAAAAGAGGTGTTAATGATGAAGGGAGAAGTATACTTGATAGAGAAACACCTGGAAAAGGTGGAAAACTGGAAAACTTAACTCAAACGCATGGGCAAAATGATGCCAAGTTGACTGTTCAAAACTCTGAAACTAAAGGGATCAAGCAAGAAAATAACCTTGTTCATTTATATAATAATACTCAAAGTAAAATATCTAAAAGTTCTGCTTCCCATAACGAGAGAACAAAAGGACCATCAAAAAATTCTGAAAGCAGTTATATACGAAATTCGACAACTGCAAGTGCATCCCGAAACTTAACAAGTCCTTCTTCAAAGCTGCATAACTTTCATAATGAAAGTGAAAATGGAACCCTTCAATTTGAATCAAATGACACCACTTTTAGTCAAGGAAATTATTCTAAACAAGAAAATCAAACAAATGTATTGACAAAGATGGTAAATAATTCTAACACACAAAGCAAACCTGATAACCCTAATGTGATAGTCGCATGGAAAAATGATTCTCATGTATTAGTTAAAGAAGCAATGGCAACATCTTTGAATGGCACAGGGATTGGAACTGGAGAAACTAATTACATAGCTAGTTCAAATAACAGTGGTATCACAATGTCATCATTTGGAAAACAACAGCTGAAATCCATAAATGCCACTGCGGCTAAAAATGGTAATTTTTCGAATAAGCCTGACATTTCAATAGGAAGTCATCAGTTTTCAAAAGCAAAGCTATTAAAGGCTGTAAAAAATTCTATCAACGAGTCTTTGACCAAGAAAGAAAAGTTGGACGAAGAACTTTTAGACAAAAGCTTTTATAACGTGAATTCTTCTGGTAATGCTACGCAGTCTAATGATACGGAGATTAGTTTTACAAGCGCGAAGAAAGGAGTTTTAAAGGGAAAGTCTTTTAAAAGTAAAGAAAAGGGGACACAACTGGACATAAGTAGCCCTACGTCTTCTCTCTCAGGGTCTCCTTCAGCGTACAGGAGCAATGCTACCTCGATTGTCAAAACAAATGGTTCTTCATCGGAAACAAGTTTAAGTGTTCAGCCGGTGAAGAAAGGAAAATGTTATTCTGGTGGAATTTTGTTTAACAAGACGTTAGTTGCAGGTCTTAAATCAGGAGATTTTACCGACTATGGTAAAGTGCAAGGAATGGACAAGTGTGTGGGGTTTTGTTGCGCTGACAAGAAATGTGACATTGCATTGATGCTTGGGACAACTTGCTACACGTTGCATTGTGCAGGTCCAAGTCTTTGCAAGGTCAGGCCTGCCCATCCTTCTGCACTTAATCCGCGAATAAGTTTTATATACAGAGATAAACTAGATAACAATGCTGTTAAAGATAACCAAATAGAAAATAAAAACAATCAAACCAAAAGTGATTTGCATCAAACAGCAACACAAGCTAAGCAAGTATCCAAACGTGTCAAGGGATCTAGGTGTAAACATGGCGCCATCCAGCACGGCGTCACTCTGCATAGCGGGCAGAAAGCAGGCATTTTTAAGCTACGTCTCAAGGCTAAAGATATGGATTCTTGCCTTGACATGTGCTGTAAGGACAATACATGCAACGTAGCATTTCTTATCGATGACTCTTGTTATTCTGTGCGATGTCACAGCCATGAGGATTGCACGATCGGCAAAGCAAAATCTTCCAGAGCTCGGTCAACACTTTCAGTTGTACGTAGCAGGATTCTTCCTTTGAATGACAGTGAGTAATTTTTCTGATGACTAGAAATAGACTTACCATTGCCTTTAAATGGCTTCTCATCTCAGCCAATCAAAGACGAAGAAACTTTCGTCATCCAATCTTGTCCGTGTGGGATGTGGTTTCTTCTTTTCTAAGCGAATCAGAATCGAGGAATCGTTTATCATCCAATCGTCAACCTTCATAAATAAGGAATCCATTTGAAGGTTATTTTTATAAAATCCACTGTAATTCTAAATCAGAAACTGTTATAATAAAAACCCTTTTTTCGTTTTCTAGAAAGACAGCAAATACCAAGAGTAGGTAAGTTAGACAAATGTAAAGGTGTTGCACTATAGTTATCTTCAGCCTTAAATAGGAGCAATTCGTTCTCCCATTTCAGGCCACGTGTCACTGATTCCCTACAGTAGCATTTCTTTGTTTAATGGTTACACACGAGAAGACACATGGATAAGGATGCAACTCAACTAGGTGTTGCACTATAGTTATCTTCAGCCTTAAATAGGAGCAATTCGTTCTCCCATTTCAGGCCACGTGTCACTGATTCCCTACAGTAGCATTTCTTTGTTTAATGGTTGCACACGAGAAGACACATGGATAAGGATGCAACTCAACTAGGTGTTCAACTATAGTTATCTTCAGCCCTAAATAGGAGCAATTCGTTCTCCCATTTCAGGCCACGTGTCACTGATTCCCTACAGCAGCATTTCTTTGTTTAACGGTTGCACACGAGAAGACACATGGATAAGGATGCAACTCAAACAATTAAGAAAAAAGAGTATGAAGTAAAAGTCTCTTGTCTCAAGAGATCCTATAACGACACGTGGTCTGTAATGGGAAGATTTGCGCCCGAGCTAAAGACTGCATGAGGTCCACTGAATTCATTCAGCTGCAACACTAATTTTCTTTCTACAGAAAAGAAGTACACGACAATCTTAAACATCACTAACCAATTTTTCACCAAGCCATTGGCGGATTTCGAGTCGCTGGAGTTCCTCAATTTGGCAGAGAGAGTTCAAGTAGCGGTAAGCGTACTAGTTAAAGAAGTTTTGACTTGCCTAGTACAAAGATTCCAGACCGAAGTGGTTTTTCTCCATCATATGTGCATATACAGCAGATGGTGGTCAGTGTTTGACCACCATTTGCAGAGATAATGAGATTCAAAGAGTTTTATCAGCTGATTGAATTACAGCAATAATTATCAAATTTAATAGAAACATTTCCCAAGCGCAACTCAACTTATCACGAATAAAAAAGTTTCTTAATTTGCACTTCGAATAACTTTCGTGTTCGTTTTGTTCCAGGTTTCTACAGTTCTTGCAGCATTCAAAGATTACAAGGAATCAGAAGTGATCTCCTTTGAGTAAGTATCTACGTGAATTTGTATGAGTATCGTCAGATTTAAAGTTATCTCACAAAGAAACATTTTACAGTAACAATGACAGCTGATAAACAGAATATTCTTCACAGTATTTTGGTAGCCTTGTCATTGTTCCAAGGCGAAGGAAACCTTTATTACATCATTGCAGCACGCATCCAGCGTCAACAAATACAATTCCAAGCAGCGTCCCCGGCGAACAGAAGGACCTACACCGTACCCGGCTTTCTCACGCCGCAGCCATCTGGGCTTGAACAATAGATATTCTCCGCGTAACCTCGCATTCAAGCGCTTCAGAATGAGGTTTAAGCAATTTTTTCCCATGGGAATAAATATAGCACCAAGTGACTAAGATCTATGATAAAAGGCTAACATTATACATCTACACCATCCTTTGCCCCTAACGTAAGAGGACGAGCTATTGAAATTCGAGTGCCTTAAACCAACTCGATTCCAACCTTTTATAAATTTTACATTAAATTCAGCTTCAAAAGATGAATTTTCTTAAACTGTTCGTTTTTTACGTCCACAGACCAAGTCCTCTCATAACCAAGCTTGAAATCACCCTTTACGATGGCGCGCCAATCAAGGACATTTTGGTAAAACTAGTGAAGACAATCAAAGATGGTAAAATGGAGTCTTCAATCGATGGCTCTGTACTCACCTTTCTTGTCAGTACGACGGGATTCAAGTTCTACTCACCAAAAGGTCTGACTTTAATAGGGTTTCATTTATAATTCACCCTATAAGAGCACCTCCTGACCTACTCTTTGCGCAATGAGTTATTTCACATGAGGCCAAGAGACCATGAAGGACTTCGTGAAGGACTTCATGACCTTATGATAAGGCGTAATTCTGCAACTAAAAACTTAAGGATGGGGGAAAGGCAATTGTTTTTATAGTGTGTTCACTACTGTAGCCTAAAAACGAATAGGATTTTCATAATACCTGCATCACATGCTAAAAAGTTAACATTCTTAGATTTTCATCTGCCGTGCACTCTTCACCGAAAACATATTTTCTTGTTAAATAAAGACCTGGAATCGTGCGAGTTTAAAATCTTGTGTTTACATTTTATGGYATTGCCTTGGATAGGACGAACCGATTGATTTCATTACAGGGTACGGTGTAGGTCCTACTGTTCACCGGGGACGCTGCTTGGAATTGTATTTGTTGACGCTGGGTGCGTGCTGCAATGATGTAATAAAGGTTTCCTTTGCCTTGAAAAAATGACAAGGCTACCAAAGTACTGTAGTCACCGTCATGCATTGTACACCAAACTACAACAACAGCATGAATAGCTATCGCAATCACCACCATCATCACCACCACCACTACTACTACTAAAGCTACTAATAAATTAACTGAATCTCTTGTTTAGGATTCAATTTGGTTTGCGACCCAGAGTTCAATTATGATGTTCATTGGAAACTCACAGTTTTCAATTTTCAAACAACTTCTCCTTGTCCAAGAAATGCTCAAGGTCAGTAAGGAGTACATTATCTACGATCTGCAGTAGCAGTCTCACTCAGTTGCCATCAGTTAGACTTACCTAATGACGTGTGTTCAATATCTAAAATGATTCCTCTTATCCCTTGCTAGGCCTTTTTTCTTTCCTTTTTTTTAGAGTTTACTTGTTCTTTGCTTGCTATTTTAGGTAATAAGTATTTGCTTGCTTCTTCCTTTCATTATTTCTTTTCTTCTTAATCAAAACTACTCCTAAATAAATATCCACACGATAACATGCGAGATCGCAATATGAGCAAGTGAAACCTGGACATTATCCAACAAAACACGCGTGTATTTACAGCCTACAGAAATCAAGTCTTTTTATGTCATTTTCTCAGGAGAAACAAGAAGGAGCTGCCATGGAAGTGACAAGACAAATGCAACATGGGGTTTTCCGAGCTTTGTGAACTGTTTATCATCCGAGTATAAGACTTTACAGTCCAAGGTAAGAAGCCAAGCCATGGCAATTTTTATAAAGCCCTATCTTTTTTCTTACTACTCGATAGAAAACACCAAATTTGATATTTGGTCCAAGCTGTAGTATTAATAGAATCATAACAGCAAGCTCTACGCCTCCTCATGCACCTGACCTTAGGTTGGTATCAATACCTTGACGGTGCTTTTATATAAGGCTTTGCAAAGCAGTACGAAATCAATTCCAAAAATTACAAAGATAATGCTGTCATATAAATAATTATTGCTCAAATTTAATCCACACCGATGATAGAAAATCCTCGTTACAGCGCTTCTCAATCACACGCGCGAAATCGTGAAAAACTTTTTCAAGACATAATAGAGTTTTGGTGGACGTCAATCAAGTCTTTCCCAGCATTGTCGAAAAATACAAAGCTTTATAAGGGCACGTGCCTATGGAATGTCATGGAAACGCATTGATTGACATCTACCAAATTCTAATTCGTCACGATGGCAAATTGTACGATTTCACGCGTGTGAGTGAGAAGCTCTATAATATCTTTAGGCTCAGGCAGACGATGTACCTGTCGCGTACAACCTTGAAAATGAAATGTCGTGAGGTCACATGTGGCATAAACCTTCAGTTTTCCCCAGAAACAAAACATTGAATTTAGGAGTGCTCCCAATTCTAACCAAAGGTTGAAAAAGACCGAGAAAGTTAAATTTAATCGGTTGAGAAAATCACGCTACTGCCAGCAATGTTACAGTCCGCTTGAAATGAAACTTATTGTTGCGCACATTGTTTCAGAAGTACATCTCGAGTCTACCTCTGACATGTAGCGTGCAACAGTTGCACTGTGTACCGGGCCCTATATTAAATCTTTGATGTGGTTCTTTTTTAGGCCAAAACATTTGCAGAAGGAGCAAAGAAAAAGACTCCATTCAAGACACTTCAATCCCAACTTGGGACAACACCCAGTGACATCCTTATTCGAATTCAAAAGTTGACGTTTGTGGACACGTACCGGGCGTTGCTCGACAAACCACACAACTCCAGCAACACTACCCTATTACACGATGGAAGCAATACAACTCATGGCCACCAGTTAAAGAACTTTAACCCTAAGCTTTCTAATGCCACATTATTTGCAAATAATACGTTCAGTATTCCATTACCAGATAATAAAAATGTGGTGCAACCTATTCCTTTCAAACTAGTGTCGAAACAAAAAGTCGCCAATTCTTCAAATGGGAGATCTTTCTCACCTCTGGTCTCCCTACCACCGTCAACTAATACGACCTTAAACGACAAAATCATTCCAAAAGCTCTTCCACAGACAATGGCTACAAAAGCATCTTCAAATTCCACGCTATTTTCAGATATTTTCCCACAGCCAGCAAACGTTAATAAGTTTTCAAGAATGAATATTCCAAAACCAGGGCAAGGAAAAACTTTAGAGAAACCAGTTGTTGCTAGTAAAAGCAATGTTGTGAAGCCATATTCCTTAAATCGATCATCTTTTGGGAAAATTCCATTGATTGGTGCTCAGAAAGTTCAGAATTCTGTTGGCGGCTCGTACAACAAAAATATAAATTTGTTGAACAAAAAATTGGGACTACCCTTTAGAAAGGGCTTCCCTTACGACAATCAGCAGCAGCAGCAGCAGCAACAGAAAGTTACCGCAACAGGTGTTACTAATCCAAGATATCAAAGTTTATCTAATAACCTTGGATATCCACAGAAGCAGTTCAACCAGTTCGAGAAAAAATCTCAGGCCGCAGCTACTTCTGGACAAGTAAGGCCATCTTACCCTTCTCAGTTGGGTAACTCTAAAAACATCATTCAAAATCCTCAGTCTCCGTATGCTGCATATAAACAGCAGCTTCAAAGACTTCGTGTCTCTCAATCCAGCCAGTCTAGTTTTTTTAACAAACAGCCAAATCAGAATGTCCAAAACTGGCAAGTTAATCAGTATGGGAATGCATATGGATATGGGAATCAGCTTGGGCAGGGCACCCAAGGTAGCCAGTCTGGGCAGAGCAATCAACTCACAAAGACAAACAACGCTTGGCAGAATGTTCAAAGATCGCAAGGTAACCAGGCGTGGCGAGGTTACCCAGGACAGGCATCTTTTCCAGGCTACGGTGGCATAACAGGGTACTCTGAGACATCTTTGCAAGGTCAACCTGATAACCAAAATGGACCTCAAATGGACATTGGACGGCGCAGAAAGAGAGACATCCATGTTAATCTAAAGAGAACCAAACGACAAGGAGGAAATATGGTATGGTATAATAATTATAATCTACGACAGCCGAGTCTTCGAAATCAAGTATACAGACCCTCTCCTACCATCAGTGAGGATAACGAAGATCCTTTCCTGACCAATGTGCAAACAGGATACGACAATCCCAAGGGCTTACTGAATCAACAAGATCCTCTGTCTTACAATRTGGATTACTTTCATCGTCCTACTCCTTACTACCCCTCCGTCACATACACACTAGGCGGCAAGGAACAGCCATCGCCAACTCGAGCACCCACCAGTCAAACTCAATCTGAAATTAGCTTGTTCCCTACTAACGGCGTTACTGATCAAGCCAGTACGCGTGGGAGCTTTTCTTCGCCTGGTGTTCCTGGAAATCAGTATCCTGCTGGGTTTACAGATCTGCAAGCACCGTCAGAACCAAGCGGAAAATCTAAGGATTTGGCCGGATTTGACCAGCCACAAGTGCAGCAAGAGTTTGTACCAACCAACAAACCTTTTAATCTTCCTATCACGACCACTAAAAATCCTTTCATTGTGAAAGGAAAAAATCTTAAAGTGCAGCAACAGTTTGTACCAACCAACAAACCTTTTAATTTACCTATCACGACCACTAAAAATCCTTTCTTTATGAAAGAACAAAATCCAAAAGTACCATCTTCGACAATGTCACCATCGATAACAACTCAAGCTACGCTTAAGTCAAAACAGGACACAAAGCCAATCTCAAAGCCGTCTACAATATCCCTGAAGCCAACGACAAAACCATCAGCAGATGTCACGCAATCTAGCGCTGAACTTCTTAAGAAGAAATTGATGGACATGGTTAAAAATAAAGGGACTGTAAAACCTTTAATTAATATTCCTAAACATGACGTTATTGATCATGTGATTGACGATGTGTACCAAGAGAAAAATAGGGCTCCAATGTTCGGTGGAGACATCGCCTTGATAGTGGATACGCTACGCCAGCTCTCGCTGTACAACAAATACACTAATCCACCAGAGACTATCGATACTTTAAAGGTACAGAATTATATACTTATATACAATAAGTAAGGGCGTTTAGATGGTCCTAGTGCTAGGGAAAAGTCTTTTATTTTATTTTCCCAAGACACCGAAAACAATATTTAACTCTAGCAGTACTAGAAAAGCACCCTACCTTTGTGCCAAACTGGGCCTTTCAATAGACGTCTCTTTTTCTTTATATGGGCATCTATAACTTTTTTCCTTAAACGTAACACCGAGTGAGAAATATACTCAATAGCATAATCATATGGGCTAAGATGGGAAAACACTATGCCCGAACTAAAATCCCCTGTAAGTCACTAATATTGGCAAAAATTTTCAATAATGCTATGATTTCCCCCCAGCAATTTCTTCAGGTCGGAAGTCACATTTTGGACAGAAGAAATAAACATGAATGGAAATACTTAACGAAGGTAATTTAAAGGAATCATTTTATTTATATATATATGTCAGTAGCTGAAAGGTTTATCTCATCTAGGATTTTGAAACATTTCTGAAGTCCATGTTCAGTTCTTCATAATTTTTGTTGACTTCAAAGACTGAGCTAGATAGACTTCGAGCAGAGTCTCCTTTTACCTCCTCTACGGGCGAGAGAAGCAAAAAGGAGGCTCTGCTCGCGAGGTAGGACCGAGTATACACAACATGCAAAGTACTTTCTATTTTGGTTGTTGTTGTTCAGAGCTTCTGCAGCAAATTTCTTACTAGCCGAAAGAGAAGGTCGAAAAAATGTAACAGAAAGTTATGTGTTTTTGCACGAGCAAAATCTGCAGTTTGATTCTGGCAACAACATAAAAACGTTACCATCCTTAACGCCAAATATCTATGATTGTACAGGAATCTCCTTCATCGATATCTGCTCTAGACGCAGCCGAGGTTATTGAAAGCTACAGCAAAATAGTGGCAGAAAAACTACACCCTGATGACATGAAGAAACCTATCCTTACAACTAATATAAGTAAGTTATCATTCAATTGACCTTTTTACCTTGGACGTAATGTTTTCTTATTCCAGACCACGTGTCATTCTCTTGAGGATAAGATTCTGAGTCGTGTCCATTTTCATGTGTCTTCTCATGTGCAACGTCAAGAGAAAATAAACTATTCATATTCATAGTTCATATTCTCTTGGCCTCTTGGCAACGTTAAACAAAGCACCGTTACTCTACGGAATGACATGTGGTCTGAATTGGAAAACATAACGCCCAAAATAAAAGGGTAAATCGAAAAAAAAAGCGTAATCCCATGTCGTGTGAACGAATTCCTATTGGGTGACTAATTCCATTGAATTTATGACTATCTTTCGCCCTTTCTTTCAGTGGTTACACTCAAGTCAATAGATTTGATGACCATAGATTTATCCCAAGATTTACAGTTGCCAAATTACTCGCATCCAGCGATTGCAAATTGGACAGACGCAACAGACAAGCTTGTCATATCGCCTCGGTCACTTGTCAATGCTCCACAAGGTACAGAAATGACCTAATAGCAAATTTTTGATCTTTAACATTTTGAGTACTGTATCATCCTTTTGATTCCCCGGACCCTCGGCTCGGATAATTGTTTTGTGTTTGACCACTCAACCTAAATATCGGAAATTGTCTGTTGCTCGTAACAGAAAAGAATATGCCGTAAAATAAGGTACTAATCTGCATCAATTTTGCTGATAATAATTTTGCTACATTTTATTTTATTTTTACTTTTATATTTATTGCAAAAACAAAGTATCAAAACAAAGTATCCAACTGATCAGCTGCAACGTACGGAGAATAACAGACTTACTTCCCAGAAGCTTGGTGGCAAAGACATTGTAAGTTTTACCTTATTATCATCACTATATGTAAACAAATGGCAATTACGGATTCAGTCTTCTGGTTAACGTTTTTGGCTTCTATTCTTCACAATAATTTTTTGACATGATTACAATGGAGTAATTAATTGTCAATTATATTCGATAAATATTATTTCTATTGATATAGACCTACTCTCATTGTCTCTTTTGAACCACGTATCATTCCCTTGTATTGTTTCTTTGTGCACCAGTAGCCGATAAACAAACAATCTTATGGTCAATGGAATGACACGCGTGGTCAAGAGAAGGGCACGTGATATGGAATAGCCTGTTTTGAACCTCGTGTCATTCCCTTGAGTATTGTTTCTTTGTGTAACAGTAACCTATATACCTCCAACAATCTAACACCCTAAACTTTAATAATTGACAAAAATCAAAAAAGATGTCTGAAATCTTAGCTGGTCCGAATCGCAGTTTAATCATAATTATATATTATATATTATTGCTTACTTCTTTTGCACTTCTTTTGATACCTTTGTCATGAAAGTTAACGGTTTTTAACCTTTGTCAGCGGTAACAATAGTATAATTGGTGGTCACGTGATGTCAGTTAGTGCCAGTCCTTCTCTTGGTGAAGACATTGATCCACCAATCAGAATTGTGCTAGATAATAACAACGTAAGTGTGTTAATCATAAATGATCCAAGTTACAAACATGTTGTCGTAACAAGCTGTCTAGCCTGAAGACGTTCACTTCATCCTATTGCTTGATTCTTCGTTACTTATTTAGGTTAAAGCATCTCATTTCTAACAAATGTTATTTCTATGATTTTTTGGTTGTAGAAGGATGTCAGTAATTTTGAACAAAAATGTGTGTATTGGAAAAAAAGTTCGTCGTAAGTATTTCATCTACTACTTATCAGAGCTGAACAGTATCCATGTCAGTAATATCACCTAAAAGCACGGCAAACTATGAACTTATGATTTGCCGTTAGTACAGGGGCGAGGTCTCGATTAAGGGGGGGGGAGGGAGCGTGGCTAGTGCGTTAGTATACATTATCAAAACAGTAATTTAGATATAAGGCGCGTTTTCATTAGTCATCAAACCATGTTTGATGAGAGTCTGCAAACACTTGAGAAGCTGGAAACCACTTCGTTTTGCGTCATGGTTCCTATGCTTCTCTTGTAGTGCCTTTAAGTAGATCCCGTGTGTTTTGACCAGAGTATCAAACAGGTAGTAAACAAATGATGCAAATCAAAATGTTTTTAAAAGCCTTAAGAATGCACTTAGACAGTGCGGATAAAATCAAGTTAAAAGCTTTGCTTTTTCCAGGCCAGGGAAGAGCAGATGGTCATCTCATGGCTGTAGATTCGTTGAATCAAATCTCACGCATACCACGTGTGAATGTACGCACATGAGCACGTTCTCTGCCATTGCAAACACTGCAAAACCAAAGGTAAGGTATATTTTGATTCAATCAAGCCCTGTTTGACTCTTCGTAAAAACTGGCTATGTGGAACACCCCAATATTTGTGATATTGACACTTTTATTTGACACTACTCTTTCTGGACCTTTTTCTTGTTGTCAGTCTGCAATTTGGTTACGTTGCTCAATTTATGGTAATACCTTGACTGAGCTTTGTGGAACACCCCAATATTTGTGTCATTATAGTCTCATTCAACACAACTCTTTCAGAACTTTTTTCTTGGTTTCAGTCTGCAATTTGGTTACGTTGCTCAATCACTAAATGTATGACAGCAGTGTTGTCAAACCTGTTCTTTCCATCTATTCGTGTTCCAAATGAAGAAAGTATTCTTGTTTGGCGACATATTATCTTACTTTTTAACAGTATATCGTTTTTACTATCTCAGGCAATAGTACCAGCGACTGTTCCCCCTACGACAGCTCCACCTCCTGAGGAAGAAGGAAGCAACCTTCTGTACATTTTGCTGTGTATTCTTGGACTGTTGTTGATTTTGTTCATCCTATTGGTTATAATTTGCTTGATCATCAAGTAAGTCAAACAAAATTCCAAACAAATCTTAATGATATGCAATTAAAAAATTTGAAGATTAATAGTCACAGAAGATCGAAATAATTGCTTCAAACTTGATTCAAATTTGCTTCAAACTTGCTTCAAACTTACTTCAAACTTGCTTCAAACTTGATTAGTTTTCAACCAAATACAAATTGCCAAAAAACCAGAATATTCTGCCTAACTACTGAATCTTCAGTTGTATTTTTTTTGAGATTTGAAATTATTTGTTGTGTTTGTTAGACGTAGAAAACGTCAAAATGAATCAAAAGACAGTAGATCAGRAAGACAAGGTCGCGCTGCTGGACGCCGCTCGATAGCGGTAAGTTTTAATACATCCTTACCTTACTAATATAGAGACATTAGGAACTATCTGTAAACTTCTTATGGTATTCGTACCTGATTTTTTTTTAGCGGTCAGACGACAGCATCAGTACCGGATCAGGAGAGTTTGATGTAAGTAACATTCCTTTACTAAAAGAAAAAAAACCCTCAATTAGTAGCTTATTTATTTTTATTATTCGTTATTTTTGGCAGGATATGCTAGCATCAAGACGAAGAAACGTTCATCCAGAAAAATCCGTAAGTTGTAAAGCATTTCACGAATAACACAGTGGTAAACGTTATCAATGGAATATAAAATACGCACGCGTGCTGTGTGAAGTTTTTAAGCACGCAACCTTCTTTTGTTCCTAATTAAACAAAAGAAGGTAAGAAATTCAGGATTAAATCGCATGCGTACTGAAAACGATTCTTAAAGTATGAACTGGCTTATCGTGATTCTGTTTCCCAGTACCCACTAGTCAAAATTTCCATTATGCTTCCCATTCTGGTTGTTTTCCAAGCTAGTGTGACCCAGTCCTTAAATTCGTATGACGCATTACTAAATTCTGTACCTATTGTTCCCAGGCTTCAGCTGACTCTCCTCGGTGGCAAAGGATGCGCAAGAATGGGGAGAATCCAGAGAATCTAATGCTCAAAGAGAAATCGTACTTAATGTCGGACTACCATCAGCCATATCATTTCTCATCATCCAAATCACCTCCACCAACTGAGTCCTCGTCACATCGAAACCGATCACGATCTAGTTAGGTGAAACTACTCGGCGCATGCGTGTCAAGTGACATTTTTGCTACGATAGAAAGTCTTAGAGGTTGCAATTTGCATTTCAAGTTAATTCAATTTTTATATTTATCTAATTACATGGCACAATAGGAATGCTAAACTGAGAGCACTATGTTGTCACTGAAAACATAAATCGCTTTTTTATAACAGGAAAATACGAAGAAAAAGAAAAAAATTCTCACCAGCTGTGAAACATACTCTTGCAATAGTCCCCTTCACAGTTCCCTGCGCCATCTTGAAAGGTAGCCAGGCCTTTGCATCGAAGCGAGACGAACGGTGAGCTTGCAATGATAGAGACATGTGAATAATTGGCCAAGCTCACTGTTYGTCTCGCTTTGAGGCAAAGGCACGGCTACTTTTCAGGATGGCGCAGTGAAGCGTTAAAGGGAAAAGCACTCGAACGAAACGTATTACAAGCCCGATGCTACAATGCTTGAAGTTAGAACAAGATGATGCAGTTGTTTCAAAACAAGCGCCGACATTACATTGTTATATTTACACAAGATTTCGTCTTGTATGCATGAAAGAAGAATAAAAATATTTTATACAAGTTTTATACAATTAAAGATAGAACTTACTGTGTTGTCTTGTGTTGATTAATACGTGACCATTGATGGACCCTGGCCACATGACCATTGATGTCACTCCATTGCATGATCCCTGGCCACATGACCATTGATGTTACTCCATTGCATGATCCCTGGCCACATGACCATTGATGTNACTCCATTGCATGATCCCTGGCCACATGACCATTGATGTTACTCCATTGCATGATCCCTGGCCACATGACCATTGATGTTACTCCATTGCATGATCCCTGGCCACATGACCATTGATGT